CGCGGGGAGGGGGCGTCGCGGGGCGCCCCCTGGCGGCCGGCCGGCGCCAGGCGGAGCGCGCCCAAAGTTGATTTTGCTCGGCAAGCCGTATCGTATAAAATTAACGACAGCCAATAAAATTAGCTTACATGTTTCAACCGTAAAAGTCCAAAACAAAATAAAGCTAGTTTTAGTGAAGCTAAGAAGCTCTGCTTTGGCCCCGTTCTCTCTGGCTTGAACTGGGGTCCTTTTATCTAAAGCCCAGTGCACAAACATATAGCTTAATGTGACTAGTGTTCTTCCTTTTATTTCTTTCTCTATGGCAACCAATATGTTCTGCTCAGAAATGTTCCCCCATCAAGGAAACAAATGATCTTGAGGGAGCAGCTCTATACGGCATCTGTTCCGATGGAGCACACAGAGTTAACCCCAGTCAAAAGAGACGCTGGGCACGTCAACAAGAAGTGGAAAATGAGCGATTCTTCTCCCCCCCAAATTGAAACCTATACCTCCGTAGTTTTACAAGCCATTTTATTGATTTGGCTATCGACCGTTTCCAAAGAAGTAACTAATTCTAGGAAATTACAATGATCACCAGCTATTGTGTATCCAAAAGAGCAGCAACAGAGGGGGCAAAGAAAAAAAATGCAAAAAACAGGGTAAAATTAAAATAAATTAAAGTCACATAATGGTATATTTATGGTTCGGTAAAGTTTTCAGGAGCGGTATCTGGCCTGTTAATTTAATCCTACATTATTTTTCACATTATTTATCACACTGACCAAAGCGCTGTAGAAGAGTTTCAGATCATTAGACTACACCTCGCAATTGGATGGGATTCAGGGAAAGCAGAGAGACAGGCAAGATTGTCAAAAGAGAGAAACAAAGTGAAATCTGGTCTGTAATCCTCCAGCCCCAATCTCCTTGGAGAATAAAATGAAGGGATGTCCTGGTTAGTTTTGATTGATTATACTCTTTCTGATGGACTTTCACTACAGAGCTCTAGATGTTGTGCTTAACCGTCTGTTCCCTAGTTACAACATTAACCCTGTGCGTGCACCGCCGCTCCGCACCTTCCCGCGCCTCCCCCGCGCCCGTCCCTTCTCCGGCAGGTGCTCGGGTCACCCGCGCCCGCCTCGGCCCCGGGCCCGGCCCCGGCCCCTCTCCCGCCCGCTGCACCGGCCGGGCCCCC